ATCCCATCTCCCCTCTTCTGGAAATTGTCCACTTCAAAGCATAACAATCAGAATTCTTTGATGTTCAATAGCAACTCTTCACTTATAGGGTTTAAATACTCCCCAAAATCTCAGGGAAAAGGGGGGTCTGGATAGATTTCATGACGGTCCTGTACCATTCATGATCTCTAGCTAGAGTGTCCCCGGCTCTACCTGCTGTTCTTTTCGGTTGAGTCTATCCATCGTTGGAGCAACATCTTTGCAGGTAATTATCACCATTAGAAAGCCTTGTGTTCATATCCAAGCTAACTACTTTACTCCTCAGTTCTTGTGTGTGTGCATGTATGTTAGGGTGTCTCTGTATGCTTGAATCCTCAAATAAAGCTTTGTTTCTACATCAGTCCCTTCTCTAGCCACCTCCGTAAACATAGGATAAAAGATCCCATAGAAGACTTGGACTTTAGTAATTCCCCAAGTTCAGAGTCTTCTCATTACATGTCAGATGTGTTGGCACTCCCATATCTTTAAGATTATTCCATAGCCTTTCATGGTCTATGCAGTCAAAGGTTTTGCTATAGTCTATAAAGCACATGCTGATTTTCTTCTGGAATTCTCTAGTTCGCTCCATTAGCCATCATATGTTTGCGATGTGATCCTTGATGCCTCTTCCTTTCCCGAACCCTGCTTGGACCTCTGGGATCTCTCTTTCCATGTATGGTTGGAGACTATGTTGCAGAATTTTGAGCATTATTTTCCTTGCGTGGGAGATTAGTGCTATGGTCCTGTTGTCTATTGTTTCCCTTTTTGTGGATGGAGATGTATATTGATCTCTTCTAATCTGTTGGCCATTGTTTTGTTTTCCATATCTGTCGACATATGTTGGTTAGCACTAGAGTTGACTCTGTCAATGTGGATTGCAGCAGTTCAATTGGAATATCATTTAAATACTCTTTCTTAAAAAAAAAAATCCCCACTGCCAAGCTGCATGAAAATCACATATAGTAAAACAAACTGAAGGATCTCAAATTATGGTGATTCCTTTTGTAACACACCTTTTTGAGGACAATGTTTCAGTTTTCTTGTGGGGAACGTGGTGCACTGAGGATGGGTGAAATGGTGGAGTTAGGGGGGCTGCAGACTGCCAGAAATAGTGCAAATTGAGTCCACTTTAAGGGTTAGGATTAGTGCTAGGGAATTGTGGGTTTTTTTTCTGAGATATTGAGCCTTCTCTGTCAGAGAGCTCTGGTGCCACAATAAAATACAGTTCCCATGATTCCCTAGCCCTAACCCTAACCCTAAAAGTGGACTCAATTTGCACTATTTATGGTAGTCTGCAACCCCCCCATAGTTACAGAAGGAAAAAAGTGTGCCACAGTAGATCTTGGGGGGTTGAAGCCAGTAGTGCAGCAAACTGTGTATATTTTTTTAAATGTATTTTGCTCCCCAAAGTCTTTCAAATGCCTTCTAATGAACATGGAGTCAATTTTTTTTTTTTAAAAAAAAAGGGGGGGGGAAAGAAAAGAAAAGAAAAAAATGACCTTGGCCATTTGAACTCAGGGCAGCTTTTTTTTTTTTTTAACAACAGAAGTGACCCAGAAGTCACTTCTTGTATCTGTGTTTGTATTTAATTATGTAAAAAGAAGACTGTTCTGGGGCAGAATCAACTCACAGCAACAAGATTCAGGCAGCATACCAACTGTTCTCATAAGTAAGGAGTTTGGTGCTGAGCCCTATGCTACTACCCCTAATGACAATATATTCTAGAAATGTGTCCCACCAACAAATGCACACTGAATTCTGGTGTTACTGAATTCTCGTGGACCCCATTACACAGCATTTTGTGTTTACTGGGAAGTAAGATATCAGAAATCTGTACTGCCACTTTAAAATTATTTTGCAAGGCTTATTATAAAAACAACATTAAAATCACTTGGCTCCACAAGTGTTCAGACTGCCCTACAAAGCATGAAGCAAAGATAATCTTGATCCTCCAATACAAGCTAGAAAAAAGGTTGGCTGCAATCCTACTTCAGTAACAACAGCCATTTCCCCCAATTAAATGTACTTCTGCTTTCTATTGTTCATCCTTTTTGCTTTTATGAAAGGCCTAATTAAATTATGAATCTACTCCAACTAATTCATATACCTGTATGTTCTTATCATGAAAGAAATACTCACTTTTATTCTCTGGGATTGCAACCTTGCACAGGCATTTAAGCTAGTACAGCTAGACTGGAAAGAAGAGCTTTGTCAAATGTAATGCTGCCCCCTGGGGAAAAAACCCTATCCTCTTAGTTTGAGAAAGTGACTTTTGGGGATGAAAACTCCCAGAACCACCAAGCTCACATGACGATGAATAATTCTGGAAGTTGGCTTCAGAAATAGTAACTTTCATAAGCCCTGGCTAACCTTGCCCACTGTTTCATCCTCTAGATATGCTGGACTATATTTTTTCATGGTTCTAGCACTCTTTATGATAGTTTTCTAGATGATATCTATAACCCAAAGCTCTACTTTCAACTTTGGTGAGAATGACATCAATACTCTCTCACAGAGACTACATCTTAAATTTCCATTTCACCCAGAGATATATATTCTAGGCAGAAGTGTCCTTGGAAAATGTATAGAAACCTGAAGCAGAAAAGATTGTTAGCTGGTGTTGGTTACACAGGATTCTATTTTGCATCTATGATCAAACTCCTCCATTGGCTTACAATTTCTGGAAGCAATTGAAGATGCTATTTTTACATAAAAGATACTCAATAAGAAATATAAAACAGGAAGGTGATAAGGATAATTCTTCTGTGGTGTTACATTTTAGAAAAAAGTTATGTATGATCCTGAGCATTCAAATAAAGCAAGGTATGTAGGGATTTGAACCACATTTGAGTATTAAGAAAGAGTATACATAAGGCTTATTTTTTGTCTTGATGGAACTTTGAAATGATAATCCCAAAGTACTTGTATGATTACCTTTGCTGTATGATGTTAGAAGTAGGTCACATTTAATTTGTTTGGTTTAATTAATATGATTATAATTTGTGGGTCTCTTTGGAATAAAAGCTAGATAGGCAAGTCAAAGCAAATTAGAAGAGGTGAAGTTGAAAATAAGTTGCTTGCCAGTTTTAAGTGCTGAGATTAATTATACTGTCACTCTGAGCTATAATCTTCTGAAGTATAGTTTTCCTTTTCATCACTTTCAGATATTGTTGCGCTGGTGAATAATAATAATAATAATAATAATAATAATAATAATAATAA